ACACACATTACATTACCGCGTCACGTTGTCCCCCTCTTATATATACCCGACTACCCTATATCTAGTAAATACTAGAGCATTCGCCAAAGTACAGGATAGTTCTAGAAAGTAGAGAGCGTGAGAGTCACATGATATCGATGACTCAACAGTATAAATATATACTATTTTGTTGTTGGGCGTAGGATTCTTCTACAGTAGCCTGAGTAGGTGTATGCGATTTGTTAGCAATAAATTAAACGATAAATAAACAATACGCACTTCACTTGTTATCAAATTAATATATATATATATTCATAACAAGTTAACGTATGTACAATAAATTCTTCAACACTATAAATGTTATGGGCATATTATAAATACTATATATGTACTTCTCTCCTTGTTGTCAAATATCCACTTAGGCGTATTCAATTACTTTAGACAAGCTGAACTATCTTCTCTATTACTATCGCACTACTATTCTCTGCGATTCACTTACCATTGTGGTGCGAGTTACCATAATCGTTTGGTCTTCTTTCTTCTGAAGATCCTCTGTTTTCTTTGTCAAAGTGCACTCAGGCTGATTCAATTACTATAGAACCACACTTTGACGGAATTAAGTCACTTATATATTTTTTCTACTGTTAGTTTCACTCTAACATATTAAACGTTAGGCCTATGTCAATCGTTAGGCCTATCACTTCTACGGTAATTTACTTCCTACCAACTACACTCTCTTTCGCTATTATCTGTCTGCTGCTTTCCGCTCGTCTCACGTTATTTATATCTTTATCACTTAATCATCTGTCTCATTCTATATTCTCGACGTCAATATAATGCACGTGACGTTCGATATTTTCAACATCAATAAGTTATTAACAAAACTAAACAATAATAAAATATTTACTCACAAAGATAAATTAATCAATAATATCTAAACCAAACAGTCTTTCATATCGTGACAAAGTGTGATCTTAAGGTTGCTACCGCAAAAATAAAATGGTTGATTTTAAATCGTGTATGGAAAATTGCGGTCTATTTATTTATTTATTCATTTATAACTAAAATATACATAATTATTACCAAGAAGTAGCAAATTAAACGCATGAAGCCTAAGTATTACTTCGCAAAATTGTGTATTCCTCATACACACGGGCTTCCATCTGCCCTACGCGATCTAACATCGAACAAAATAAAATTGAGCAAATTAGAACCTATAAGCCTAAAATATATGATGAAAATTACGTAAAATGCAAATGTTTTTCCACATTCCTCGTAATTTGTCCATTTCGAATTCAAAATCACAAGCATGTAAAATTGGTATTTCAGAACTATCTTTCGATTCTTTCAAGTCACTGCCCAATAGCTCTTTCATTTAATGCCA